TCTTTTAAACAAACTTCATTTTTTTTTTTTTTTTTTCCTTTTTTGTCAAATAGGTAGTATTAGGGAAATTGCTTGCATATTCACATTTCAGTATTTACTGGTATTGTTAACCTTATGCATCATTTTTAGTTGTTTTTATTTTAAAATTGCTTGCAGTATATTTTATTCATAAAATTAAACCAACAGTAGATGTCCTTGCCTTCGCATTGTGTATTTAGAAATGTACCATAGTTGTTGTTAGGCTGGGGCAGAGTTTATGGTCTTTTTACAACAATGTTCTCCATACAAAAATAATAAAAAACCACTGCCTCACAATACTGTGTCCATTCAGTTCATTTACAAAGGTGTTTTGTGGTGGGTTTACCAGTATTGCAGAATCAAATGTATAAAAACTGTTTAAAGGAAATTGACTCATTTCATTCCAAACCAGTATGAATATGGAAAACAAAAGATGGTTTTAAGACGGTGTGCTGCTATTTACCATTCAATGAAACAGAAAGATGTCCAAACACTGAAAAGGGGGGAAAAAATACTTTAAATTCCCTACTTTCTTCTCTCTAATCTCATTTTTGCTTGAGAAGTCTAACCATTACCTTGACACCATTGACCTCAGGTAATTTTTTCAGTTAAAAATGAACTTTCCCCACAAGATGTCGCCAACAGTCAGCTCTCCTCAACACTTTACTGAGGGGAGAACACGAAATGTGGACACTGGTGAACGGACAGACGTTGACTACAGATGATGGAGCGACATTTACCGTATCTGCCTTTAGAAAGTCAGTTCTTTTAACCCTTCAGTGTCCTCTTCTGGAGAGGAAGAGCTGTCATGGGAGACGCGCGGCACTTCTCACGCGTCTGGATTGATGGAGAACCGCGAAACTTCGCAGCGGGTGAAGAACATCACGAACATGCGTGTCCAGCGCGGTAGAACGATGGAACGCGGACGATATACATTGTAACAAAGGCAAGTAAACGCATTCTCTATATCTCGCCTTTGATACATTTGTAACCAGTAACACCGCCGATATCAATACAGCAACTGACTTGACCTTATTAGAGGTCGATAGATTTGTAATGTTAATGGTGGAGTCTAATCTCAAGTTTGGACGCAAATCGAGAAATGGTGCCTTCAGTATGTAGAACTGTTTAATTCCATTTGATATACAGAGAGGGGCATATATTTATTAGAACGAATGAATTTGAGATTGAACCCACTATTAAGAAAAAAAGAGAGATGTTTTGATGTCTTCGATCATTTTAGCACAAGCTGGTCAATCTTTGAGAAGCGTCCAGAAATGTGTCTGAAATGATAATGAATTACAACAAAATTATGGATCACATTTGGTGCATTTTTTAACATTTTATATATGGTGCATTATATACGGCATGCACAAATGAATTGGAGATTCAGCCTTTATTAAGAAAAAAAAGTTTTTTTGTTTTTTTTTGTGTGATATTACAGCCACAACAATGTTTTATGAGGCTTACTGCAATGTCAAAAATGATTTTGAATAGACTTTTTCTCTTCATTTTACATGCAACATGG